AGCTCTGTTCCACACACCCTCCCCCGCCTCACCCTTGCCGGCCCCTTTGGTGCTTACCTGGGACGGAGCATTTCGCAAAGCTGTCGCTGCAATTCGTGCTGAAAATGTTCTGGTTCATTCTAAGGAGATTCTGTGTTTCACTAAAGACATTCTTGATCTTCTCCAGCAACCAGAGGGGCGACTCGGAGAAATTTTGGACACAGGCCTGGAAGGAGAGCAGGTCCACCAGGGAAGGATCAGCATTGGCCTGTCTCTCGCTTGTCTGTCAGGCTCCCTTGACCATTCTCACATCTCCTCCTTTGCTCTTTCAGCCCCCTACCCACCCCGGTTTGCAGCAGAAACCATCCTGGGGCCAGGAGCTATGTCATTTACTCACAGATATGCGTCAGGCATATGGTAATTACCTGGGAATCATACAATGAACAAGAGAGTGGTCCCTGGCCAAGTTGGACATGGAGTCCAGCAAGACACAGGCACCAAAGCCATTGTGACAAGTGCAATGAGTCCTGTGAAGGAGCACGGAATGGTCTGAGAGTGTGTAACAAGGGCTCAGGGGCAACGTCCCCGAGAACCGACTAAAAGATGAGCAAAGTTAACCAGGAAAGGCAAGGAGTTGGAGAGAACTGTCTAGGCAGCGAGAACAGCCCGTGCAAAGGTCCTGAGGCAGGAAAGAGCCTGAACTGTTGCAAGACTCAAAGAAGACTAGAGTGGCTATGGCACTGCCATCCAGGAGGAGAGCAGTGAGAGATGCAACTGAGAGAGGTCAGCAAGGGCCAGTCCCACAGGTCCTTGTTGGCCATATCAAGAACTGTTAACCTTATCCAAAGAGCAGAGAACACATCTGAGGGTTACTGGGGCCCTGGTATGAAGAATGGCCTGGAGCAGGCCATGGGGCTGTGGGTCCTTCTCTGGTGTTGGTCTGTCCTAGAAGGAGGTCCAAGTCTGCCCAGCCCTGTCTATTGAGCTACTCTTTTCTTCTCTGCCTGGGGGACTCAGGCTCCCACATCCACTGGAGCTCTGAGAAAGCTCACATAGAGTCCTGGCTTTCCTTCCCACTCTCGGGCAGCTCCTTCTCCACCTCCTGACCAGGCTCCCCTCCTCTACCCGACTTCTAAATGCTGGCATTCCTCAGGGCTCCATGCTGGACCCGCCTCACACACCAGACAGTGCCATGCACCCCTATGGCATCATCTATGGCTACTTGCCAGTGACTTCCAGATACCAGGCTCTCCCTAAACTGAACTGCACCGGGAAGAGCTTTATTAGGCTGTGAAGCTATAGGTATGACCCATGGCCTGTGCATAGTAGGCCCTTAATCAATGTTGGCCAGATAAACGATGGAAGGATATGAGAATGAGAAGACCTGGGCTCAGTCCCATCACTCCCCAGCTAGGTGACACTGGCCAAATAAACTATCCCATTTGGGTCCATTTCCTTATCTGTAAACTCAAAACAGGGATCCCTGCTAGCCTCCCCCAGGGCTGTTGTAAAAAGAGCTACCCTGGGCCCTGGCCAGTTTGGCTCAGTGGTTAGAGCATTGGCCCGCAGATTGAAGGGTCCTGGGTTCGATTCCAGCCAAGGGCACGTACCTCTGTTGCAGGCTCAATCCCCCACCCCCAGCATGCAGGACGAAACCAATCGATGTGTCCCTCTCACATCGATGTTTTTCTCTCTCTTCCTTCCACTACTCTGAAGAGCAATGGCAATTAAAAAAAAAAAAGAGCTATGCTGGCTCTCTTGCCTTTCTTCATGGGAAAACAGGGACCCTCAGACAGAAGGTCCTGGACGCCCCCCATGTCCACAGAGGTTGCATCTTCTCTCCTTTGGAGCCCCGAATCCCTCCCCAGCCATCCCCACAGGAGACCAGTTCCTCCAGCTTCAAGGCTTCATCCCTCCTAGAGTCTGTCCCATGGGCATTCACAAGTGGGTGACTTGTTGAAATGCAAATTCCTGGGCCGACCCTCAGACCCAGTGAATCAGACTCTCCAGGGGTGCACACTGGAAATCTGTATTTTAAATAAGCTCCCCAGGTGAGTCTTAAGAACCTGAATATTGGAAAACCACAGATCTAATGCCTCTCTTATTAAAAAGGCATCTTCCCTCCATCCCACATTCCTGCAGTGACCTCTCCCTTCGTGTCCTTCGGAGCCAAGCTCCTCCACAGTGTATCTCCACTTCTCCTCTGTTCACCCTGACCTGGCACCAGCCACCGACATTGACCTCCACGTGGCTAAATCCAGTTTCTGGTTGGGACTTGGGCCTCCTGCTGGTCTCCCAGCCTCCAAACCTGTTCCCACAGTCCATCCTCTGACAGCACCCAGAACGGTCTCACAATGCAAGTTAGGTCCAGTCACTGGCCTGTTTGCCACGTCTGCCTCCTGCCTCGCTCTTTAGACCAAATCTCACATCCCTGGGACCCAGGTGATCTGGCTCTGCCTGCTCTCCTCTCCACCCTTCACTTCCATGCCTTGGCCATGCTGCCCAACCTCTGGGTCCCGAATGTGCCTACTCCTGCTCACCCCAGGGTTTCCTGAGTAGCATTCTGGGTTCTGCAATACTCTTGGCAGCCTTATTGCTTTCTGACTTACCCATCATTGGGCCTCAAATGATTACTTTCTTACTCAGACGCCTTCCCTGTCTCTTCCTCCCACCTTGTTTTAAATTAGAGTCCCTTTTCTCCCCCTCTGATGGGGCTCCTTCACTGCTCCCGCCGTCCCCTCCCCTCCCCTCCTTCGGGTCTGCCCTCCCCTGGTTTTCTCTCCTGCAATGCAGCTCCTCCTTACGACACACCATGCGTTTGACCTATATTTTGTGAACTGTCTTGCCACCCCCAAATGTACGCTCCATGGATGTGGGGGGTTTTGCCTGTCTTTGTTTCCTCGTGTCTAGGAAACACAGTAGGCCCTGGTTAGCTATTTGTGGACTAAAGGGAGGGTCCTAGTGGTTTGTAATTCTGTTTGCTTGTATTATTGTTTGTTGAATGGCTGCCAACCTCACTAAACTACAAGCTCCACCAGGTCTGGAACCAGGTAGTTCCTGCCCATGAAGTTATTGTTACAGTCTAGCGCTGTGCCTCCCATAGCGTGAGTCCTCAGCAAAGGCTTGTGGGATGAAGAAATGAACGAGAGACTGAGTGGGCCCTGCCCTGACCCAGGACCCCTTGCCCTGGACCTACCTTGTCATGCTCATCGTAGACCTTGGGGAAGCAGTCATGCAGCCTCACGGACAGTTCCAGGAGCTTCATCAGGGCGATGGCATTGGAGGTGTTATCCTTGAAGCTGATGGTCTCCTCCATGAGGTCTTGCACCAAGAAAAAGGCTTTCTTAATGTAACACACGGGATCTTTCTGAAAAAGGAGAACCTGAAGTTGCTGGTCTGGCTGATGCCACCAGGAACCCCAGTTGTGTACCAGGTACACCCAGTCTAGCAGATGGCGCGCTGCGGCCTGCCCCACCCCTACCCTGGCCATGATGGGAGCAGGAAGGCCACACCACTGTGCTAAGGAAGATGCTGCCCTCAGGTGGCCTTTCATTCTCTCTCTTTGGGATCTGGCACTGCAGGAGGTGGAGTAGAGGGAGGGAAATGTGGATTCTGATTAGAGAGAGCTTCAGATTTCTAGAAGGAGCATAAAGACGTGGGTTCTGGGAAACTTCTCTCTCTGTTTCTCTGTTGGCTTACTTTCCCATAGTCCTGGAGGCAACTCATGGTCCAAGAAGTAACCTCGGTGCTTTGTCCACGGCAGTTGCCTCAATAGAGCCTCTGCTTTAGCTCTGTAGCCCTAGCACCAAATGAATGAAATATGAAGGGTATTCTTTGGACTGGGAGGAGGTCTCCAGATCTAACACACGTGGAGAAACTCAGAGATGGGAACAACTTCTGGGCATCACAGTGACTTTGTATGAGGCACAGAGATGAACAAACTCCGGAATAGGGCTAAGGGGGGAGGGGGTGGCCAAGGTATCAGGCTTATGCAAAGGCGTGGGGGCAAGAAGGAGCAGGGAATGGGGGTAGTGGGTGGGGCTGCGTGGTGGAGACTGGTGCTTATAAACCCCAGGCTAAGCAACGTAGGCTTTCTTCTGGAGGGGGGCCCCAGACAGGTTTGGGGGAGGGAAAAGGAAGTAGTGGGTTAGGGTTCTGAGAGCTCCCCTTAGTGGTGGGATGAGGGGTGCACTGGCCGCAGCCAGGACATTTGAGAAGCTCTTGAAATTATCTAAGCAACTGATGGGGAGGCCGAACCAGGGGCACTTGGTGTCTGGTTAGGGATGGGGTAGGAGGAAGAGGGAAAGGACTGGACTGCTCCCCTGGCTGCTGGTCTGTCTGCTGGATGGAGGTGACATCCTTAAGCAAGGCATGTGACCCAGAAGTACTGGTTTGCCTTAACCCCTAGAGCCAGCCTGCCGGGGTTCAAATCAGACCTCCACCACTTACTAGCTGTGCTCTCTTAATCTCTCTGGGGACAGTAAACAAGACAAGTGTACCACACCGTGGTCCCATCAAGATTAAATTAGGAAAGTACCTGGCCCATAGTAAGACTTTGACATATGCCAGGCCAGGAGGAGAGAGCAGCAGGGGACTTGAGCCCCTTACCCTGCCCAGCCCTGGACCCTGGCACCCAGACGTGAGCCCCCAGGGATCCCCACACTTCACCCTGCCCAGCTCTAGGATTTCTCCAGCCTTCATGCTCCCACATATACCCACCCTGAGAAGTGCCTACCAACTGGGCCTTGTCCATATCCATAACTCACCAACTGGTCCTGGCTTACAAACACAAAGGAAATTTTGCACGAGGTCTCCATCTGACTGTCAATCTGTAAGAGAGAGTGGGCCAGTGGTGGCAGGGTGTGTGCAGCCCCGCGGAGCTTGCCTGACAGTGGGGACTAGAGTTTCTGGGTGGATCGGGGGTGATCCTCACCCACCTTCCCCCAACCACACTTGGAAGACCTGTGCCTCCCACGTGCCCAAGGGAGGACTGTAGAAGGAAAATAAGTCTCCTCCTTTTCTTCTCACTCCATGGAATCTGGCAGATGCCAGCCTGTTATAAGGAAGAATTGTCTAATAGAAAATACAGGACATAATCTCCCATGGGAAGTAGTGAGCTCCCTGTCATGGCAGGAATTCAAGCAGAGGCTGGACAAGTTCTGGGGATTCAGGATCTGTCGGAGATGGGGTTAAATGCCCTGAAAGCCCCTGTTGCCCACCCCCCAGGGTAGTGGTTCTATGATTCTAAGCCTCAGAGAGTGGCTCCTGGTCTCCCGTGGGTTTCTGTGGCAGCTACACGCAGGAGGAAAAGAGTAGGGGTAAGAGAGGCAGGAGGCCCAGCCTACAGGCCCCAAGCTCAGGGCCCTGGAGCTGGCCTTCACCAGTGCGCCCCACCCTGCCTGCCTGGCCAGGGGATGGTAAATTCTCTTCTGAGCAGAACAGCAGCCATGACAGCAACCTGATTGTGCTTGGCTGGACCACGCTCAGAATTGTTGATGACTCTGCTGGCCCAATCAGGAGGCACAGGCTCCTCCATAGTCAGGGTGAGTAGGCCATTCTAGCCCTAGGGCTCGGGCAAGAGCCAGGGCTATGAGGGTGGAGGGCTGGGAGTTAGGCGGGAGCCTTCCCTCCAAATCTGGCTGAGGCTCTGGTGCCAGGCTGGCATCACAGCTAGGAGTCCAGGAGCTAGAGGCAACATCTGGACACAGCAGGCAGACTGGGCTGGCTCCCCAGAGGAAGCATCCCATTGAGGGACAGGGAGCAGGCTCCACAAGACTTTTCAGAATCCACGACTGACATTCCAGGCAATCTTTCGCCAAGGTGACCAGCTGGAAGCCCACCCTGTCCCCTGCCTGTAGGGGAGTCAGAGGCCCTCACCTTAAGAAGGTCAATGACAGGGCCATCAGGGAGCCATGTCCTTCAGAGCCCTATTTCTCTGCCTGCCAGCCCTCTCTTTGACCCTGCTCCTTGGCTCCTGCCTCAGTTCCCTCAGTGGGGAGAAGATACACAGGCTTGGCCACACACTCACCAGCTGCTGCAGGAGCTGCAGATGTCCATCCCCAATCATGTGGCTACAGTGCTTCGATTCCTCCTCGGTAAAACTCCTGCTCACCAGGAGACAGACCAGCAGTAGCCAGGGGCCCAGCCATGTCTGTGATAGAGAGAGCATCGTTTCTCCTCAGCTCTTACTCTCCCCAGAAACCCCATGCCCTCATTCCTACAAGGCTACAGGCTCTGCCCCTCACCCCAAAATGCAGTGTTCCCCAAATCTAGCTTTCTCGGGATTGCCTAACAGCCACAGCACAACCTTGCTCTCCCTCGATGACAAACCAAATGTCATCTTCTCCAAGAAACTTTCCCAGATTAACCCAGGCCAAGCCTTACTACACATTGAACTAATGAGGACCTGGAAGGTGCGCCTACCAGTCTAAATTCTAGGTGCACGAGAAACTCATTGAGTGCAGGACTTGCTCCTACACATTTGCCTGTTCTTACAACATCAAACAGAGAGCCAGGCATCTTGGGAGCTGCCAGTTCCTCTCAGGTTCATGTTCATGCACCAGCTTCCAGACTTTGAGCCAGACACATTTCCCTTGGGCCTGGCCCTTCCTCCCACCTTGTTCCACACAGGTCTGGCTCTGCTGCTGGAAAAACCAGGGGACCTAACTCAGTTTCACTGGGAACCTATCCCACACTAGACACCTTTGGAGCCCTGGGTGTGTGTGTGTCAAAATTAATCAGAGGAGGCAGCCATGCCAGCTCTAATCCATCCTGGCTGGCACCTGCCTATCAGAGCCCCGTCAGGCTGTGCAGCCAGCCAGCCAGCCAGCTCTCAACATGGCCAGGACGTTTTCTGAGATCTCTTCTCTTTCGGCACCCACCTGGCCTAGTGGCTGCTCACAGCCAGAGTAATGGGCCTGGCTCATGACACTGTCATTCCTCTTCCTTCCTCTCCCCCTCATCCTTACCCCTTAGCCCTCTCCCTGGCCCTAAGTCTCTCCTTCTCCAGCCAGCGGTAGAGAAAAACCCTTAGGCTTTCTTTCCCCAGCTGGAGGTCGCCTCCTGGCAGTGGATGCCCCCAGATTCAGAGAAATGCTGTCAGGGTGGGGTGAGGGCTGGCACCTTCCTGGGCTCTGGGCTTTGCCCCAGTAATCCAGATGATGAGGCAGATAGTGCAAATAAACTGCGCATTGGGAAAACACAAGGAGGCTATGAAACAGCCCACAATGACATGCCAATTTACATATAACTAAAAGCTCCAATGTTTGCGAACTCTTACCAGGGAGAAGAGGCCCTGGCTGGGCTATCAGGGAGGTTGCAGTGAGGCCTGGAAAGATGGGGAGAAACTGATGGCAGAGAGGGAAGGGAGGACCTGAAGAGAAGGCGCAGCATGGCCCAATCCCATTCAGCACAGGGATGTGGTGAGGGTCCTGGCCTGACTTGGGGAGGGAGCATGTGAAAGAGGGAGGAGAGTCATGGAGGGGGCAGACCTCAGGCTCTGCTGGGAGCTGAGGAGGTAGCCCTGGGTGGGAATAACTGTCCAGGGTCTCAGGAACCTCTGGTTCAGGACACACTGGGGGAAACTGGGCTATGCAGAAGGTGTGTCTGTCTCAGAGGAGATGGCCCAGGGGGAGTGGGTTGCTCAGGAGGACATCCCTGTCCCAGGCACTTCAAGATAGTGATGTTCCAGGACAGCAAAGGGAGAGCAATGCTGAACCTCAAGGACTGCCTGACTTTTAGAGCTATTTCAGGCATCAGTGTGAGGAGAGCGCAGCCACCACCACGTGGGAGGCCAACTCTGAAAATGGCCAAAGGAGGGCAGGCCTGCCCCTGGGGCCCCAATTTTGCCTCAGAGGAGGATCTGGACGGGCACCTAAGGGTTAACACTCTAGCTGGCCTGCGTGTGGCTGGGCTGCCTCTTCTCCCCCCTCCTTTCTTCCTCTCACCCATCAGCCCTGGCCTGGGGGGGTGGGGGG